AGGACACAGTGACACAGCCTGTAAGCCGAAGCTTTATTTTATAGTCAGAGCACACAAAGCAAAACAAGGGAAGTGGTCAACATATTTACAATGTTCTTGCAAATTTCAAATCTGCTTCTTTCCTGTTGTTGCCATTCCCTACTCTCTATCAAGCTTTGTTTAGGCAGCACTTGCTGCACCTCCCACAGCCCATTAGCTACCTAGGAACAAGGGAGGACTATAGGGCCATGCTTAATTATGCTAGGAGGGCTCTGCCCTCCAAGTTAGGACTTGTTTGTGGCCCTGCCACAGGTCAGTCTGAGGCTTGACCCTATAGCTCCTCCCTACACTTACACTGTCTTTATATTTTTGGATTCTTTTTCTTTTTGCTCTTCTGGTTGGGTGATTTTTGCTTCCTCATATTGCAAATCGTTGATTTGATTTTCAGAATCCTTTACTGTTGAATCCCTGTATATTATTCTTTATTTCAGTCAGTGTATGCTTAATTTCTGACTGGTCCTTTTCCATTTGGAGGTTTCTAGTAGATTCTTGAGTAACCTTATAACCATGGTTTTGAACTCTATATCCAGTACTTTGCTTTCTTCCATTTCTTTCATTTGTGAAATGTTTCTTTGTCTCCACATTTTGTTTGTTTGTATGTATTGGGTAGAGTTGCTCTGTCCCCTTGAGTTGGTAGAGTGGCCTTGTGTAGTAGGTGTTCTATAGGGCCCAGTGGCTCAGCCTCCCAGTCACCTGAGCTGGGCACTCTATGTGCACCCCTTTGTGGATTGTGTACAGTCTTGTTATAGTTGAGACTTGATTGCTGTTGGTGTCACTGGGATGAATTGACCTCCAGGCCAATTGGCTGTGAGGACCAACTTTGACTATAGTGGGAGAACTGCTGTGAAGGAGACATCCCTATGGAGCAGGACTTGCTTCAGTGGGGCTTAGGTGTTCACTGAGTCTGCCCCTTGAGTGTGTTGCTTATGGATGTATAGAGTTGTAATCTGGTATGGTCTGACACTGACCACTGGGTACACTGGCTCTTGGATCTCCAGGGAGGTGCAAAGTCAGTCACTTCCTGTGGCCACCCAGCAGGAACTACAGAGAGATCTGCAGATTCCTCCTCTTTGCATCGGGTTTGGAAGTGCCCATATGAGGCCCAGCTATGAAGCAAGGTAAGCTGGTGCTGGTGCTGGATCTTGGGCCTTTTATTGATAGGGTTGAGGCTCCCTGACCCAGCTGCAGCTTGTTTGAGAGATTTTAGCCTGAGCAAGGACAGGCCACTATTATCTAAAAGCTGCTGCACACAACTTGGGTGGGGTTGTAAATTGGATGAGGCTGGGTCTTAGGGAATCAGCAGGGCAGAGCAAACAGAAATGGCTGCCAGTCAGCCCTGCAACTGGGGAGGTTCCAGCATAGGAACAATGATCCCTGTGAGCACCTCCATCTGGGAGAAAGCTGCCCCCAAGTTCCTGCCCCAATGCCAGACAATCCAGTTCCTCCTCGTATGTGTCTATATTCCCCAGAGCCTCTCCCTGGTGCTGGAGCTCCGAGGAAGCAAGACCTTGTAAGTTCAATTTATGGTGTCAGCCTTTTAAAAGGAACAGCTTGTTCTCCAGCAGCTCTGTGTCACTGAGCCCCAATCCATACTGGTTTTTACAGCCTGTAGTTCTTACTGCCCATAGGGATTTCTTTCCCCAGCTCTGGGACCCTGAGATGGGGGTCTGGAGCTGGGACCCCTTGCTCCTCCGGCAGCCTCCACATAGATGATCTCCCTTCAGATTCGACAAAGGAGATTTTTGCCGTTGTGGTTAAGGAACATAATCAGTGTTTTTTAGTTAACCAAATGGGAGATTATCCTGGATGGGCCTGACCTAATCAGATCAACCTTTAAATGACAATTCAGAGATCAGAGTCAGAAGAGTCAGAGAGGTGAGTGAGTTCCTACTGGCTTCAAAGATGATAGCCACTATGAGTTCTGTAGCAGTAAGGAACTAAAGTCTGACAAAACCTGAAAGAGCTTGGAAGAAGACCCTGAGCATCAGATGAAACTGTAGCCCCAGCTAGCACCTTGATTTCAGCATTTTGAGATCCTGAGCAAAGGGTCCAGTTAAGCATTGCCCAGACTTCTGATACATGAAAACTGTGTGGTAATGAACAGGTGCTGTTTTAAGTCACTAAGTTTGTGCTAATTCATTGCACAGCAATAGAAAACTAATATAGACAGACAGATAGGTGATTGATAGATAATTTTTAAAAGATATAGTTTTGAAGTAATGTGATTGATGTTCTTATGTCATCCTAATATATAGTGGCATTTAGTTTTCAGGCTGAAAAAGAATGCTTTTATACCAATGGTAAAAGAAATAATACAATGATGAATTGGAATATTTGAAAGAAATTGAGGTCTAGCATCTTATTTTACTTTTTGAGTTTTTATTATTGAGAGTATTAGAGATGTCCCTTTTTTCTTCCACTGCACCCCTCCACCCAGTTCCCAACCCACCCCAATCCTTCACCAACCTCTAGTGTATGTCCATGGGCAATGCATAAATGCATATAATTTTCTTGGTTAATCAATTCCTGCCCCCTTCCCCTTTCCCTCTGAGACTTGTCAGTCTGTTCCATGTTTCCATGTCACTGGTTCTATTTTATTTGTCAGTTTTTTGTTCATTAGATTATACATATAAGTGAGATCATGTGATATTTTTCTTTCTCTGATTGGCTTATTTAGCTTAGCATAATACTCTCCAGGTCCTTCCATGCTATCTCAAAGGGTAAGAGATCCTTCTTTTTTTACAGCTGCATAGTATTCCACTAATGTACTGATCAACATTCTTTCTAAATCTTAGCTGTTGTAAATAATGCTGCTGTGAATATAAGGGTGTCTAATTCTTTCTGGTTGGTGTTTCAGGATTCTTAGGATATATTCCTAGAAGTGGGATCACTGGGTCAAATGGCAGTTTCATTTTTTTGAGGAAACTCCACACTGTTTTTCATAGTGGCTGCACCAGTCTGCAAAAATGGGACTCCATCAAACTATAAAGCTATTTGCACAGCAAAATAAACCAGCATCAAATTGGTTTGGCTCAGTGGATAGAGTGTCAGCCTGAAGACCGAAGAGTCCCAGGTTTGATTCTGGTCAAAGCCATGTACCTTGGTTGCAGGCTCCTCCCTGGCCCAGGCCCTGGTCAGGGCTTGTGCAGGAGGCAACCAATTGATGTGTTTCTCTCTCATCGATATTTTTCTCTATCTTTCCCTCTCTCTCCCACTCTCTATAAAAAGTAATGGATAAATATCTGTGGGTGAGGATTAAAAAAGAAAAAAGAAAAGAAAAGGGAACCCACTATATGGGTTCATATTTGCCAATGATACAATGATAAGAGGTTAATTTCCAAAATATATGTAGTACTCATACAACTCAACAAAAGGAAGACACACAATCCAATTAAAAAATGGGTGGAGGACCTGAATAGACACTTTTCCAAAGAAGACATACAAATGCCAAGAGGCCTAGCATTTTAGATGGTAGGAAATAATGAATGAGATATAGTGATTCCAGCTATCAGGTCTACCAGGGCAGACATCAGTGCACAGGAAGTATATTCCTATATACAAGGGTAGCATAGAAATCTTACTGAGGAAGACACTACTGAAGTCTGTGTATACCGTATGAATTATTTACAGATATAATGAAAGATTTACAGTAGAGACGTAGCATAGACTTGTAGGACAAGATAATAATACTGACATAGAATGTTAAGAATAAAATCTGTGTTATAAAATTAGGTCAAATTCCAGCATGTGGTAGAAAACCTCATCAATATGTGAACACAAAGAGAGGTTATTATTTTTAAAAAAAATGACCAATTCCTAAAATCATTGGAAATAATGATAGGAAATAATGGTAATGTTATAGGAAGAGGAAGAGGTGAGGTTTCTGAGCCAAAAATGTGGCAGTCTACTAGAGTTCTTATGTGACTAGAGTATCTTAGAGAGCAATGAATGTTTTTCTAGTTCTCTTTGTGCCTTTCTGGAGTACATTTACTTTCTGAACTTTCTGAGTATTCTGGTAATAAGCTGTATGACCTGAAACCCTCAGGATGTGTGACTTTCACTGCCAAACCAGGATGAGTTAGTCACCTTAATCTCAGGTCTGCTGTGAAGCCTTTCCCAACTTTATTCCAGCCTACATAAGTTTGTCTTCAAGGAGTTTAAGCAGTTTATTTAACATATATTCTCTCTTTATTAGGGTTTAGTTTGCAACTTTCTCAAGGGTAGGAACCAAATCTCTTTAACGTTTGTATTTCCTAATACTTAGCAGAGTGCTAGTGTTTAAGTAATTAATCTAAGAACTTAAAAATTTTACTTACATTATTTCAAGGATTACACAGCTTTCTTCTTTAAGTATGTAAGTACATTTAATGGTTATGAACATGAGTGTTTTCTTTTTAATCCTCACCAGATGATATTCTTCCATTGATTTTTTAGAGCAAGTAGAAGGCAGGGAGGGGTTGGAGAGAGACAGAGACACACAGAGAGAAGCAGAGAGAGAGAGAGAGAGAGAGAGAGAGAGATCAATGTGTTGGTTGCCTCCTGCATGCACCCTGACTGGGGGCTGGGTTTGGAACCTGCAACCCAGGTACATGCCCTTGACCAGAAATCTAACTGGAGACTTTGGTTGACGGACCAACGCTCTAACCACTGAGCCCACTGGCCAAGGCTGAATGTGGGTTTTGTCCTAGGATCCGCTTGGGTTCAGTTTCTCCCTGCCAAGTAAATAATTATTTGAGGTTGGGCAAATTAATAGCCTCTCAGAGCCACAATTTCTTAAATCTGGAAAATGGGGATAAAAATAGTACCTACTTCCCAGGGATATTGTAAGGATTAAACAAAATAATGGCTAAGCGTGTAGTATGTTGTCTAGCACATAGTACAAAACCAGTTATTATGTGGTAGTTGTTAATAAGTGAATATAAATCAATTCACTGTATTCTTCCATGCATTGTTTCTTCCAGGGAGTTTATGACATCTCAGGCAAAAGCAGTTATTAAAACTACTAAAGATTATTTGCAGCCTCAGTTTGGCCCCAACAGACTGTTGCTTTCAGCAGCAATATCAGAAGGGTCAGGACTTCAAAATTGCTCCACACATCAAACAGTATCAGATCATAGGCATGGTGAAATATCATACCCGGACAGCTACAAATCAAACAGAAACAACAATTCCTGTTTTATATCAGCATCCAAGAGAAACAGACCTGTCAGTGCTCCGGAGGGTCAACCGAGGTAATCAAAGCTGTGCTCTCTTCTTTTTAACCAACTGTTGAGGCTTTTCCCTTTGAGCAGAATTCATAATGATTCAATTGGTTATTTCAGACATTAAAATGTAGCACATTTCTAGTGCTAGGGTTTTGTTTCTGTTTTTTATTTTTTTTTCTTTGAAAGCATAGGGGTAGAAAGTTAATTACACTTGTGGAAAACATGAAATATATTTCAACCTGGATACTATAAAACTCTAAAAAATATTTAAAACAAAATCAGTCTAGGACCATGATAGATCTTTGCTTACTAGGTATTTGTTTAAAAATAGAAATGCATACTTTTGATATTTAACCAAAATTCCAAAATAAAACTAAATTGTAATGAACTTATTATAAAACTATTTTGTGTACTTTTACATAGTTTGTAATAATCTTTTAACCTAAGAGTTTGTGGATAGGATAAAATATTTGTAAAATAAAAGTCAAATCAAGAAACTGATGCTACCATTATTTTCATATGTTTAAATAGGCGGATATATTGTGATTTTAATTTCCCTAAAGTTTTTATTTTAAAATGTTTACTTTGCCTTTTGTAGCATTAAGAATTATCAGGGTTAGTTACAGAACTCCGAAGTAAAAATTTGACATTTTAGTCAATTACATGCTTTGCTGAGAAAATAGTAAGATTGACATTGGTTTTGACTGAAGACAAAACTTAGAAATTTTCTTTTACTTCCTCCAGATAATTTGAAATGAAAGCAATTACAATTGACTTTAGACTAAAAAATGTTGTCATGATCTGCTTGAATTTGCAATCTTTTAAAATAAATCAAAGAACTTTGATAAATATGAAAACTTAAAGGAAAAATTTTTCCACTAAGTATTTTATAATATTAAGACCATATTGCTATTTTATGCTTTCTATCAGAACATAATTAATATAAAAATATCATTTTTAAAAACAAGTATTGTGATGTTTTATAAGTAAAATGATAGAAATGATTTATTCTGAAATAAACTGTCCCATGAACAGTTTTGGCAAACTTATCCTGTATTAAGTGTTTTTAAATATTTAAGTAGTTAGATACAACTATAAAAAGTTTTTTTGAAGAATACTTACAGTCATTAGAGCTTATATGTATGTGTAAAAAATATCCAGGATAATATGGTTTTGAATGTTTTTACTAATTAACATGCAACGATTTTTACTTTTTTTTCCTCTCTCTTCAGAGTTGTAGAGTTCTCTTCTTTAAAATTTCAGTCGGCCCAGAATTGGCACAGAATCTCTCAAAGACATAAGCTTCAACCCAGAGTGATTAGAGTAACAGCTTACAAAAATGGATCTAGAACAGTCTTTGCCAAAGTTGCTGTACAAACCATCTCCTTGGTAACTAGTGTTCAAAAGTTTTTATTGCTTCATTTCTTCCCTTACTCTCTTTAAAATATAAAAGTGGAGAAAAATGACATTTATTCTGTCAAAATATTCTTTTTAGTAATATGAACCTGTAAATTGCTTAGGTATACATAAAATTCACAGGTATTCCTTTCCTTTCCTTTTTCACCAACGTATAAAAAGTGAAACACATTTAGTGAAACACATGTTATATTTTGTAGAGTTATAAAAACATTTAACTGACAGGATATTTAAGGACTAAAAATAGACAATTATTAGATATTCTTAGTGCTGTAATTTATCTTTTATTTGTATATTTTCAACTGCTAGAAAATATACTGGTGGACTCTGGCAATTGCCTCAAGTTTCTGTTTTGATTGGAAGCATGTTTGGTCTCATGGAAATGTGTAACTCTCCTTTTGTGAATCACTTTCTCTTACCTCTTGCTTTCTCCCAGTTGCTGGAGGAGTGCACGGAGAAGCTGCATCTGAACATGGCCGCACGACGAGTGTTCTTGGCAGATGGCTCTGAAGCCCTCGAACCTGAAGACATACCCCATGAAGCCGACGTTTATGTTTCAATGGGAGAGCCCTTTTTAGATCCATTCAAAAAAATTAAAGGTAAAAAAGAAAAGAAAATCCTACCCCCACGTACAGTAAATGGCTTGAGGGATGCAATTAAAAAATGATTTTCATCCTGTCTTTTTTGCATGGTTTAACAAAACTAATGTTTACGCATTTACAGCTCAGTAAGAGGATAATGTGGTTAATGAAAGAAAAATCCACTGACAGCCACGTTTATTGCCCTTCATTAGCATTGGTGCTTAATTTAATATAGATCTGAATAGACATTAGGGAGCCTGCAGGAGGTTAAATGGTGAAAATATAATAAATTAAATCAGAGATTATTGAATTTACTGTTTAGTTTCTGTGACACCCAACAGACATAATTCATTAGACTTATTCTCTTAGAAAATAGTTCAAAGTTTCAAGTATCACTTATTCATTTACACTCTTGGTCTTTTTTCAGATGGCATTAACATAATTATGAAAGTGTGGCCAGTAATGAACACATAATTCTTATATACATGTAATTTTCCTAATAAAATTTTTCATAATGTAAATGCTACAGCTTGACTTTTTTACCTTGAAATATATATATGCTTATATACATGATAGAAATTATAATAATATAAATTATATATGAAATATAAACAGAAACACATATTTTAGAGCTATTTGTAGATAAGATCTTTTTTTAAAATGTGCATTTACATTTTCTAAACTGAAAACATTTTTCCTTCTTTAGTGGTAAAAATACATTTTAAGAGATAAATGAAAGTACTTCTATCTAAGAATATTCTTCTAGATATTCCATATCCAAATGCCATATCTAAGTCTGTTATCAAATCCTATATGTGGTAATCACATTTAAATGACACAGCTTTGCCATACAAATTCAGTGTATCTAACTGCTTGCTGTGCTCCCTTATGCTTTTTATATCTTATTAAAAGTTGTGGTGTTTTGTTTTTTTTCCTGCAACTGCTAAAAAGCTGATGAGCCAAAGGCAAGTCTAGGCAGTAATTGCATAAGTAGAAGAAAAGTAACTCTGGAGTTGATTACAGATGAAGTGGTAAAAATTATTTCTCTATTAATGTTATCATATAAAATAATACTAAGATTTCTGTCTCTTTCATAATGCTTGATCATCAGGAAATAATTTATTGAATTCAATGGAAAGTTTGAGTTAATTTGGTCCTTGTAAAGAAACTTGTTGCTACAATACTCAGTAAAAATTACCTATACAATAGTGGAGACTCATATCATTTTCTAACTTTGTTGTAACTTTAAATATGGCTGCCTTTATTTTGTATTCATTAATCATCTGCTTACATATAAGCATGAGTCTTTGTAGGTAAATGTTTCTGAGTTTTTTATATTCAGGTATTTATATAATTAGTACTTTCTTAAGATCCTTGATTGTTTTTATTAATAAGAAATATTTGCCTTTCTTATAATAATGGAAGAGATATATAAAAAATTACTTACATCTAAGCTTCTTAAAAAATTTCCTGGACATGTATGCTTAAAATACTAATGTTACACACATGACTAAGCTTGGTGGATGATTTTTAAATGTACAAACTAATTTCCCCCTACTTTTTGTTTTCTCTTTTATCCTTTTTAAAGCCAAGTCCCGAACAAAAACTTCTTTGCTTTGTCTGCATATCTTTGGCTGTGTTTCACTGTGACATGCACTGCTGTTCTTTTAGCACCAAAATGTTGGCACACACTCCTGAAAATTTCACACCATCTCTTGCTGGATCAGCAAGCTTAACCCACCAAAATCTGGTGTTGTGCAATGGTTTTTGACTGATAATCAATCTTTATGCTGCTCGACAGTTGTTGCTGGGACACGGAGTAGAGCAGGTGGCAGATGTGCCTTGTCTTTTGAGAAAAGAAATGGTAGGTGAGCTTGGACACAGACTAGCATATCACATGTCCATTAAAAAGACTTAGGATAAGTAGAATGGGGAAAAAAACCACTCATCTAAGTTCATAGATAAGCCTAAAGATCAGCATTTGATTTCTTTCAGAAGATTAAGAATATAAATGTAAATAAATATTATACATATGTGTGTATATATGTATGATAATGTATATGTATAACTTGATTTAAATAACTTGAGAGGGGTGTGAGGAAATTTTATATGTATGTATATATGTCATACATATGTATACATATTTCATGTCACATACACTTTCTCAAATCAAGTTAAAATTACCTTTCTCGCATGTGTCTTATAGATAAATCAATAATTTGCCAACTTGTTGTCCTGAATGTACCATAAAAAAATAAAACATTCATGAATAGTTTTGAAGGTAGTAGATGAATTTAGGGTAAGAGGGCATTCTCAGACGTTGGAAAAGCAAACATTCTAAAGGTAAACCGGGGTACAACAGTTAGCAGAATTGGGTATTACTCTTTTATTTTTCTAAATGAGCATGAATAATTTATATACAGTTAACCAACAGACATTAGAGTCAGCAACTGGTCATTATTATTTCAATATACTGATTTTCAATCATTCAGCCAACTTTCATTGATAGCATACTATGTGCCAGGTACTAGGATAGATCAGAGACAGGTGGGAAGAAGAGTTCATAGTCTGATTTCTTTTTTATGATTATTCTTTCATCTCCAATTTTGAATTCAGTTTAATCTAAGTTTAATATTTATTAAGTATCTACTATCTGTAGAGTCCTGGCATAGGGATAGAAGCCCTGGTCTTTAAGGACCATAAACTGGGTAAATAAGTTATAAATCCTTTAAACTGAGAGCACTATTCAACAAAGTGACAGGGAAGGAAAATTTACTTAATTTCTGGCACAGGAAGGCCAAATAAGCCTGTGTATATTTTGGCAATTATATTTCCATACTTCATTTTTTTTTTAATTTGGAAAAACAATGTAGATAATAAAAAAATGCCTTCCTTTGACCTATTTCCAGATTTGCTAAGGTAGAAAAATATGCGCAGAACATCTCTGTTTTTTTTTGTTGTTGTTGTTTGCCTAGATGTAATATTTAATTAACTTATTTAGAGAACATCTCTGATTTTTTAACTATTTTACTACCTCTTTTGAGTATCACTGTTGACAACCAGTGGCACTGGATTTAATAGAAACCTAGAGAGCTATTCATCACATACCTCAAAACACAAAGCTTGTATATAGAGGTCAGGCCAAGGTCAAAACTGACAGGAAGGATTCCCTATTGCAATGCAATATTAGAATAATTCTTGCATTTTGAAGTTGAATACTTAAGCAGAAAGATTAGTTATGTATGGGGTAAAATAGAAATATTTTATAAAGAAAGTTGATGTTAATCAACTGTCTTGTTAGGTCTTACAATTCTGGCACTTGGAGAGTAAAATTGATTAATGATTCTGCTAGAATTGTGAAGATGTAGTTAATGAATTGTTTGAAAAGACACTTAAAAGTTTTCAGATTTATGGACATGCAGTTTAGGTATTATGTTCTTGAATCTTCTGCTTAATGGGGCACAGTGAAAATTCTTGCATCAGATTCATGGGGTTTATAAGAGTTCAGCTGCTTTATAACTGCTTGGCAGTGCAAACCTAGCATAAAAAACGGTTCATGCCCTGAAGCTGCTTAAATATCTTAATGAAGATGAGGGAAAAAAACACTGCTTGGACCTAATCCATTAGGTCTAACTTCCAATGTAGAGAGCTCTGATTGTTTAGAAATTATTTTTTTTAAGTTTTATATTTTCATTCTGTTTTTTAAAAATTTATTTTATTGTTTAAAGTATTACAAATAGTAGTACATATGTCTCCTTTTTCCCAATTTCATTCTCTCTTATCTGTTCTATCCTACCATTTAGCTTTAGAGTTATCACTTACAGTGATTCATTTAAGTCCTGAGTTTTGTTAACCAGAGGTGTAACTGAGTATTATGAATAACATTTTACATCTTTTACATACTGTATTGTGAAGATGTAGTCACAGGAAAAAAATCCATGAAAAGAGTTCAAGATATTACACCTAAGATCTAAATTTAAACTGAGAGATTTTTTGTTGTCATGTGATCTACAAAGTGAAATAATTTGCTGTGACAGCTTGTGATTGACAAGAATATGTGTGAGCACATTTAAAACAGGCCATCTTTTCATGTAGAAGTAAATGTCAGTGAAATGATGGATTCTCATCATTTTAATTATTGATGATTTGGAAATAGTTCAATTCCATGACACACAGGACACATTATAAATAGCAGCATAACACTTTTTCTCGTATCTGCGACAATAATGAAATGTTCTGTCATATTTTGTTTTTCAAAAAAATGCATTAGTTTAATGAACCTGGATTCACACGTTATACTCTCTTCTATTCTGTCTCCTGGATTTGTTGATTTTTAAGTAGTTGTGTTAAAAGCACAAGTTTCACCCTAGCTGGTTTGGCTCAGTGGATAGAGCATCAGCCTGCAGACCGAAGGGTCCCAGGTTCAATTCCAGTCAAGGGCACGTACCTTGGTTGCAGGCTCCTCCCCAGCCTTGGGCCCTAGTCAGGGCATGTGCAGGAGGCAACCAATCAATGTGTTTCTCTCACATCAATATTTCTGTCTGTCTTTACCTCTCTCTAAAAATCAATAGAAAAATAACCTTGGGTGAGGATTAAAAAGAAAAAGCACAAGTTTCAAGGAGTGCCCAGTATCCACATCACATCGCCGAGTGCTGTTCTTGCTACTGGTCTCAAGACAATGCCACAGTGCTGCTGACACCCATGGCTGCTTTAGTCCTGTGAAAGCTGGTACTGGCCTTCCTGGTGCTCACCTGTAAAGTGACTACTGCTTAATTTGAGCAGACACAGCAGGAGGTAGAGTGGGCCTTCCCAAATTCTCTGTTTTCATGTTGTTTGAATAACATATGGATTAGGTGAGGTTATTTGTCAGTCCATTGTATCTCCCACTTAACTGCATATACTCCAAAGCAGGAAAGTGACATTATACTATAGAGAAAACACTTTCTTCTGAGGTAGCACATGCTTCTATTATTTCTACAAATGAGGGTTAAAGTATAGGTGTATATTTTTTTATTTCC